CAAATAATTGATCAGTAGAGTACAAGTAATTAATAATCACTGATTAGATGATCAGTATAAATAATTGATCAGTAGAGTACAAGTAATTAATAATCACTGATTGGATGATCAGTACAAATAATTGATCAGTAGAGTACAAGTAATTAATAATCACTGATTGCTGATTAGTTGATCAATACAGTATAAATAATTAGTAATCATTTAATTACTGATCACACTATTTTCTTGATTAATATCTTTCTGATACGGAACAGCTTTTTTTTTTTTTTTTTAAATTTTAACACTTCTTTTTCCTTCCATTAATTCGATCCAATTAAACAGACAATTTCCTCTTTTCAGTGATTTCAACGATTTTTAAAAATGATACTTTTTCAAATTCAATGCATTTCCATTAATTCCTTCTAATTTTCTCAGAGATGAATCGTTTCCAATAGTTTCTTTCCGGTTTGTAATCCGAAAAAAAAGTGACCCACTTAAATAGAATCTTTCCGGTTTTTGACTAAATATTATGAGGAATTGAAACTCTGATAGTTTCACTGTTGTGATTTTACAAATTATAATAAGAACTGAAATTATGAATCAGCTTGTAATGATTCCGAATAAATGATAGATGATTTGACCTTCAAAAAATTTGATTATTCACTTTCTCATTTGCACATAACACTGCATAAGAAAAAATGCACGTTGCACGTAATATTGCACGTAACAATTGCACGCAACAAATCTGATTCTAATTCGTTTTAGTAACACGTTGAATTTCAGTTTCTTAATTTCAAGCATCAGAATTTGTTGTTTCATTTGGAATTTTCTTTCCAATCATCTATTCGTTATAATCTATTTTTTTCTTCTATTTTCCATATTTTAATGTAATTTTTGATTGAATTATTTGCATAACTCTGAAATTTCATTCAATTTTCTCCTACAATCTCAATTTCATAAATTATTTCAATTTTCTTCTCATTTATCCCCACTTTTAAGCTATCCGTAATTCAATGATTTTAGGAATATCGTCCCGTTATTCCCGCGGAAGAGCTAAGATTTCCCGGGGCAAATTACTTTTGCAATAAAAACAAGGAAAAAAAAAGTGACTCATTGTCTTCTTTTTTTATTCTAAAAAAAAACTTTTATTATAGGTTATAAAATATGCAGCATGAAGGAGCTTCATCTCTAAATATGTGTGTATATATGCATCTATCCATGTATGTATGTGTACGTATGTATGTATGTACGTATGTATGTATGTATGTATGTATGCATGTATGTATGTATGTATGTGTATGTATGTAGTATGTGTATACATGTGTATGTATGTGTGTTAGCCTTTTTTTTGACAATGTTTGATTCCTAAATAAATGATTCAGCAATTCCTTCTGGCGCCGTTAGCTTTACTTGTTAACATTTAAATTTCTTATCAAAAAAAAAAAAAACAAATTCCATTACTATTCCAATTATTCAATTCTGATAAATTTGGATGTTATTTGAAATTTCAATGAAATAAAATTTTTAAAAATTTTATTTCTTAAAATAGCAATAAGAAAAGCGATGAAAAATGCTATGATTTTATCATAATTAATGATAAATTTTTGATTAAAATTCTCTTTTGCAAGGCACGCAAAATATTTTCCAAAATGATAATTTAAGAAATATGAATGGCAGTAGGATTATTATTAATTCAATCATTTCTTATTTTAGCTTTAAAAATTTATGAAATTTTCGGTTTATCAATTTGTTCACTTCTTCTTAACTTTATGTTAATTAACTGATTTCAGTTTTTTCTTTTCTGTTGTTAAATTATCCATCAAACAATTTGCTAAGTGAATAAGCTCTCGCAATCAATATAATACGATAATAGTTTCCTAAATTATCATCATCAATGTATTTCCTTATCATGTTTGATGATTTGTAATTTCTTCCTACTTTTATCAGTAATTCAGAATTGTCATAGTAAATATTTTAAAAGATCTCCCAAATCCAGAAAAAAAAAAAATCTCAAAATTCTGCCGTTATCTAAACTCAACTGATTTACTGATAATAAATATCACTTTTTCAATCAGCAAAAAAAAGAAAGGAAAAAAATTAGCAATGAAATTAGGATTAGAAAGAAGTGTGGAAAGATTTAAATTAATCCTACAATCCGAAGAATAAGAAATATTTCTAATAGAATTAATTACTTTTCCTTCCATATTTACTTTTTGTATGTGTGTATGTATGTGTGTGTATGTATGTATGTATGTATGTATGCATGTATGTCTATATTTTCAGCATCAAATCCCTCAAGTAACAGTGCGCATTTGTCTTTGACCAATATGATGCGTTGTTGACCTGTTGACTTGAATTCGGGTATAAGAAGAAAATTCAAGAATTTCTTAACATTTTGGAAATCAATTGCTAAAATTAAAAGATTGAATAATCAGAGTTAGTTGTAAAGTATCTCCTCATCGCATGATGCACATCATTTGCAAAATGTCATAAATGACCACATAAATGACCACCGACCGGGCGGAGCTTTCAGTAAAATCCGAAGCAATCCTTTTCTCCTCTCTTCTGTCCCATTTCTCATCCATCTTCCTTTTTGTCCTTCCGCAAATGCCATAAAGTCACAAATCATATGAAGAGTGCTTCTTCCGTCCCTGAATCTTACCTCCCTTTATTCATGGCATATACTACATCAACAATGATAACATCCCACTCAGTTTCATGAATTCAATCGCTTGACCTTTTTGACCCAGGGACCAGCACCAGCTTTTTACCGCATTATCGTTGTTATCGTTATCCTCATTTGGAAGTAATCGCTACTGATAATGTTACATACAAAGGATCTTCTGTGTAGAAGTAATCTTGTTCATTGTACTTTGAGAATTCGTTGTTCCCGCATTTTCGTTGTTGCCATTGTCATTGTTATTACTGTTGTGGTTATTGTTGGTGTTGCTGCTGCTATTGTTTTTGTTTCTGTTGTTGTTGTTGTTATCGTTATTGTTTTTTGTTATTGTTTATTGTTGTTGTTGTTGCTGTTGTTGTTGTTGCTATTGTTGTTGTTGCTATTGTTGTTGTTGTTGTTGCTATTGTTGTTGTTGTTGTTGCTATTGTTGTTGTTGTTG